GGGGGGGTTGGTGCCCGGGCTGGTGCGGCCCAGGCTCTGAGTCAAGCGGAAGGCGGATCTGTGTAGCGGGGGGCATCGGGCCCGACCCAGGCTGGAGCCCCAGCTTGAGGGAAGGACCCCGGGGGACCAGAGGGAGGAGCCCAGCTCGAGGGGGTGGTACTGACAGGCGGCAGCATCCACGGATGCGGCGGGCATGGAAGGGAGAGTTTATTCAGGACAATGCTTGCAGAGATGCTAGGCTAACCTGGGGAGGTGGCGATTCTCTCTCCTCGCCTTCCCCGGGCTGCCCTTCTCTGCCCCCGGCCCCCTCTCGCTGCAGCCCCCGGCCCCCTCTCACTGCAGCCCCCGGCCCCCTCTCGCTGCAGCCCCCTGCCCACAGCCATTGCGCAGACCGTGCGTGTGACAGCCCGTTCCTGCAGGTGCGGTGGGGGCCGCCCCCAGCCCCGATTTCAGTGTCCGTGCACCGACCCCGTGCAGCCCCCTGGGGGTCTCACTGCCTTGCGGATGAGTGAATTGTAGACATGTGAGTGCACAACGTGAGCGAGTAGTCACCAATCCTGGGCCCGGGTGTCACAGACGTGGGGTGCTGTTGGAGACTCCACTTGAGTAAAAACCCTTTTCTGCCCCCCCCATATATGTGTGCGTGTGTATGATTAAAGCAGAGCCAGCGGGCCCTCTGCATTTTTATCTGCGATCTTCACGGGCCTGCAGCTCTGATAAAGTCCACTCCAGCCGGGAGGTGCTTTGTTTTTTTGTTTTGTTTTGTTTTTTAATGCATCTTAGGTCCCAGGTCAGTGTTGCTGTGTTCACCGTGGCGGTGGAAGCAGTGAGCAGGAAAACTAGCTGCCCCCCCTCCATCCGAGGTGTCAGGGGGCTCAGGAGCCAGTTTAAGTTGTTACGTTTTCTTGGAACAATTTCGTGTTTTCCCGGAACTCTCCAGTGGTAGAATATGGAGCCTTTGGAAAATGTCCTTTACTGGCATCACTTCTGTTTCTCCTCGTTCGTAGGCACCTAGGTGGTGTGTGTGGGGGGGGCAGGTTAGAGAAACGTGTTCTGGGGGTCATCGCACTTTACCAACCTGTGTTTTTATAACCGCCCCCCCCCCCCCCCCGCTCCGAGGCCGGTGATGCTGAAATGTTTGCCAGGGGCGGCGGGTAACCTTCCCTCCTCCAACCTGACGCTGACTTTTCCGAGGGAGGCTGGGTTTTGTGGCACGGCTGTCTTCGGAGCCTGCCTGCCCCCCCTCACCGTGGGGTGAAGAACCCATATGGCCTCTCCGCCCCCCCCAACAAAATGCACGACACCCAGTCCTGTTTGAATTTCACATGAACAATGAATAATTCTTTAGCGTAAGTATGTCCCATGCAATATTTGGGAAATATAATAAAATGCTTTCGTGGTTTATCTGAAATGCAGATGGGGCCGGTGCCCTCTCTCTTACCTGGCCCTGGTGACCCTGGGCCTTGCAGTCCTGCCTGGGAGTTAATGATTACATGTTTTCCCAGGGCTTTGCTTTTCCCATGGGTCTGCTGATCTCATTGCTCAAGCCCCGTATTAAGGTCAAGACGTTCTGCTCAGGTCTCTGCCTTGAGCACCCGGGCTGTCCTGCAAAGGACCAGTGTGCAGGTGGCCTCCTTTTCCTCTTTGGACCCGTCCAGTGGGACCTTCCGCACCCGCACTTTGGTGGCAGACACATCCTTTTGTGACCACCAGCCCCTGGCCGACGCAAGGGGCTGTGGTGGGGTCTGGTGGCGGGGGCCACGTGAGGAGGTAACTTGGGGGCTCGGATCATCCCGTTTGCTCTTGAACGGTCTCAGACGTGCAAGGCCATGAGCCTGCATGGCGCCGCGTTCTGCTGGCGGCTGTCCACGTGCCCATCTTCCAGATGCAGGCACTGAGGCCTGCGCTGCCCCAACCATGGGCTTTCCGGGGCCAGTGCCCATCTTTCGTGAGAAGAGCCGCTGGACCCCGTGTTCCGGGAGTGGCCTTGTTTGCCTCCGCCTGTGCCTGGCTTCCCCTGACAGGTCACTCCTCATTCGACAGGGATCCCCTCCTGTGAGCGTGAGGTCACCTTCCATGTCCCCTCTGCGTCCCCTGGGCCCTGCTGGGTTCGGAAGAGGCACAGACAGGCTGTAAGGAGGGAAGACGTGGTTCGTTATTGGAGCAGGAGGTGCTCTGGGCTAACTTACCCTGTCGGGCAGGAAGAAGCTACTGGAAGCCCCTTGTGATGGACCGCACACCTGTGTTCATGCTGACGGCTGAGACAGTGAGCGCTGCGCCTCTCCCACTGTCCCTCACGCCCAGGAGAAGGCAGGTTTGCGTCTCCATGCCCCTGTCCTCCAGTCTGTGCTCCCTGCCCAGCTCATGAAGGGGCAGCCCGGGCTCGGCTGCAGGTGCTTCTCCTAACAGTCCCCGGGGCAGCTTCCAGGGACAGTGTCCCAGACCAGTTCATTCAGAAGTTCTGGCGCTCATTTTTTTTAAAGGTTCCCCAAGTAACTTCTGGGGCCAGGATGAAGAACCAGTGTTCTAGAGGATACGCTTCCTTGGAACCTGGGACATAGTTGCAAATAATTACATGTATGCGATTCTTTAACATATTTACACATGAATGTTTATGTTATTTGTTTTAACATGTTATAATTAGACGCAATATAGAAATGATTGTACACTGTTATATTATTTCTACGTGATAGGTGTTACTGTATCATATGTTAAAAAGTCTGCGCCTACCCTATACCGTGTAATTATGCCCGGCACTTATTTTTCCACGGGTAGATGGTAAAGGCAGGAAGGAGCACGTCGCTAGCTGTTGCAGCCAGACAGGTGGGGACCCTGCTGGGGTGGAGCCAGGAGCACCCAGATCCTGTCCCCAGCCACCGCTGTCTTGTCCCTCACCAGATTTCGCACTCCTGTGGTTGGGAAGGCATGAAGCTGAGCTCACAAAGGCGTCTGGCAGTGAATACAGAAAAGACCCATTGGCTCTGAAATCTTAATTCCGAATCACACGGGGGTTAGCTTTGGAAGTTTTAATTGAAAAAAATAAAATCTTCCTGGGTGATTTGGATGATCTGCTCTTTGAGACTCCTGACTGGTCACCGGGCCAGTCCAAGCAGTCAAATGTCTGGTCTTGCGGAGGGTCTAGAAGGACACAGAGGCCAGCATGAGTGAACGGATGGATCTGTTGTCAGGCTCTCACACTCACGGTGGGAGGACGGGGAAGGTGACTGATGTCAAGGAGGAGAGCCTGAGGTGGACCTGGAGAGGGTGGGGGTGGGGCTTGCTGGAGATCGTCCCTGTCCCTGGGTGTCACGGGGCAGAACCTTCTGATGGTCACCATAAACCAGAAATCTGGATTTGCGTATGGAATCTTTAGGTTAGACATTTAAAACCCTGTGCAGGCCAAACAAAACTCTGTGGGCCCCACGATCTTGGCCCATTCCCCAAAGACGGTGCAGATCTTCTCGGCAGGAAGGGAGCCCCTGACCCCGGTCATGGTCTTGCCCTTCCCCTGGGGAGGGCATGCATTTCTGGAGTAGCTCCTTTGCTTTGTTAGGCTTCGTGTGCACCTGGGTGTCTGGTGACCCCAGGAAAGTCTGGGATGGAGACAGGAGCGCCCCCGGTGGCTGCCAGCACCCCAGTGCTGGCCCTGCAGGGGGCAGAGCGGCGGGTCGCTTCTAGCTCCAGCAGGCATTTGCTGTCGTTAAACTGAACTCTGGAAGTAAATAGGGGGTGTCCGTTTTCTCACGATGAACACAAATTGTCGCTGGGTGAACCGTGCCCCCCCCCGGGACTTTTCTGAGCCTCCCCTGCTCATGAAACACGAGAGCAGGGGACGCTCACCCAAGCACCTGCTGGGCCTGGAGCCTGGGGCAGATGTGCAGGTGAGCTCCTCCCTCCCCCTCCCTCCTGTAAATCACTGGATATTCTGTTTTAGGGTCCTCCACGTGTAGGGCACTCATTCTTGCTCGAAGCTGTGCCCTCTGTGGGAGGATACCATAAACCAGGCGGGCAGTCCCTCAGCGATCAGGGTGGCCTCCATCCCTGGTTGCTCAGGATGGCCCTTCTTGCAGGGAACGCCCCTGCCCACTTTCTACACGCACAGGGCCTTGACCTCCTTTACAGAGTTCGAGTGGACTTGTTGCTTTGGCGCGTCCTCTACCAGCTCCCCGGCATCCCCAGCTCACACCGGCTCTTATCCTAACCTCTCCGGACCCCTGCCCGCAGAGATGGGGGTATCCCTGGGCAGCATGCTCCCAGAGTTACATCCACATCCTTCTTTGTGTTCTCCATCAGCCACGGTTGGCGCCCTGACTTGGTCTTTGCTGGGGAATCTCTACTAGACTTGATGGCGGGGAAACTGTGCTCCCAGCTGCCACAGACCCTTGGGGACCCCCCTGAGTCTCCCCTAAGTCAGCCTGCTCATGGCTTCAGGCTCTGCTGGACTCCTGGGCCCCGGGACTACTTCCCTTCTGAGCCTGGCCCTGCCTTTCTGTTCTATTTTTACATTACCCATCAGTGCTCTGTGTTTGAAGCAGAGGGGTTATTAAGCGTGAACTTGGTACCGTTCTGACCCGAAGCTTGCATTTCTTCCGCTCCTGCTGCTCTGGCTTCAAAGGAAAACAGAAGGTCGCTTGTTTTCCTACCTTGGGAGGCTTCAGACTGCCCCCATGGCCTTTTGGTGGATCCCTGTGAGCTGTGGTCGCGGCCACCGCTAGGTAGGGCTCCTTGTGCATGCGGGGTTTCCCAGCCTGGGGGCAGAGCCTACGGGGCCCTGTCCTGGTCTGGCTGCCTCCCGGTCCGGGCTCCGGGGAGCAGCTGGGGTGCCATGTTCTCCCCGCCTCCAGAGGCGTGTGCATCATGCACAGTAGCTGTGCGGCTGTTAGACCAGCAGGTGCAGGACGGTGCGCCTGAGGCGCCAGTCTCCCCCGAACGCTGGGCTTCCTGTGTGCAGTTTTCACATGTGCCCGTTGTGTTCCTCCCCCTGCTCCTTCCACACGTAGGGCAGCCATGCCGCACAGCCCGACCTCCAGCGAGGACGAGATGGCCCAGAGCTTCTCCGACTACTCCGTGGGGTCAGAGTCGGACAGCTCGAAAGAAGAAACCATCTACGACACCATCCGGGCCACGGCGGAGAAGCCCAGCGCCGCCAGGACGGAGGAGAGCCAGGGCAACACGCTGGTGATCCGCATCCTCATCCAGGACCTGCAGCAGACGGTAGGCCCCGTTCGCTCACTTCTGCTCAGTGCCCAGCGTGGCTTGGGCTCGAGGATGCCTGTGGTCTCCTTCTGCACGGCCTGTCCTGGTGGCGTCCCGCACGTCGTGCGCCTGCCCTGCCCTGCCCTCCTCCCCATCAGCTCTGCCTTTGTCTGCCTCATCGCATGCAACTGGTGCCGCGGTCCACGTACTGAGCGTGTATTATGTGCCGGGCAGAGGCCAGGCCTCGAGGGCACAGGGACCAGCCTCGGGGAGGAGATGCCCACAGTGGACGCATTAGTAGGTGGGGCCTCGGCACCCAGGCGGGCTCTGCCTCTTCCCTGCTGCTCTGGGCTCGGTGGTACAGGGAGCCCGTGTCCCACACTCTTCCCCATTTGCTGAGCTTCGTGAGCTCTGTCTGGCCTGGCCTTGCCCGTGCTGCCCACCGCTGACTCCCAGTCGTCTCTCAAGGCTTGGGCCCCATGTCGTTTCCTGTGTTGGCCCCTGGTAGCCCTCGGGGCTTCTCATTGCCCACGGCCCTGGTGTGTGTCCTGCTACGTGCTTGCTTGGTGTCTGTGGGCCCTCGCTGGTGGTGCCGGCCGCTCCGTGTTTCTGGGAAAACTTCCCCTCCGCAGATGCCGTTGGCCCCTCGTTTCTGGGAGCTTTTCTCACCCGTTGCTCCTTCTTCCGGCTTGTGGGTTGGGGTCTCTGTTTCAGGGACAGCGGCCTCGCACCCTTGGGCTTCTCCGTATCTGCCTTCATCCCCGGCGCCTCTCCTCCTAGTCCTCCGTGATGTTCTCGAACATTTTTTTTTTTTTAATTTTATTATGTTATGTTAGTCACCATACAATACATCATTAGTTTTTGACGTAGTGATCCACGATCCATTGTTTTCGTATCACACCCAGTGCTCCATGCAGTACGTGCCCTCCTTAATACCCATCACCGGGCTAACCCATCCCCCCTCCCCCCTCCCCTCTAAAACCCTGTTTGTTTCTCAGAGTCCATAGTCTCTCATGGTTCATCTCTCCCTCCAATTCCCCCCCCCATTTTTCCCTTCCTTCTCCTAATGTCCTCCATGTTATTCCTTATGTTCCACAAATAAGTGAAACCATATGATAAATGACTTTCTCTGCTTGACTTATTTCGCTTAGCATAATCCCCTCCAGTCCCATCCATGTTGATGTAAAAGTTGGGTATTCATCCTTTCTGATGGCTGAGTAATATTCCATTGTATATACGGACCACGTCTTCTTTATCCATTCATCTGTTGAAGGGCATCTCGGCACTTTCCACAGTTTGGCTATTGCGGACGTTGCTGCTATGAACATTGGGGAGCATATGGCCCTTCTTTTCACTACATCTGTGTCTTTGGGGTAAATACCCAGGAGTGCAATTGCTGGGCCATAGGGTAGGTCTATTTTAAAATTTTTGAGGAACCTCCACACTGTTTTCCAAAGTGGCTGCACCAACTTGCATTCCCACCAACAGTGTAAGAGGGTTCCCCTTTCTCCACAACCTCTCCAACATTTGTTGTTTCTTTCCCTGTCCATTTTGGCCATTCTAACTGCATTTCTTTATGGTGTGTTCACGTGGACCCATCCTGCTCTGTCCCTTGTAATTCCTGCTGGATTGTGGTTGAGATTCAGGCTTTCTGTTTGATTTCCAGCCTTGTGCTAACTCGTCTTGAAAATTATTCTCCCTTCCTTCTTCCTCCCCTGCCCTCCCCTGCCCTCCCCTCCCCTCCCCTCTCTTTTTTACTAGGTTTTGTGGCTGCTTCTTTTCCTCTTGTAGATCTTCCTTCTTTTACCCGGGGGTGCATCCTCTCCAGATGAATGCGTGTCTGGTTTCCGCCTCTCTTCTCCTCCCGTAGCACATCTTCATCATTTCTGGGCTGTTTCTGGCTGACTCGGGCAGCTGTCAGCGACGTGCTTTCTGTCTGTTGCTCTGACCATGTGTGGGCACGCTCTCCTCATCTCCCTCCTGCACCGACGCTGAGCGTCCCGCAGATACAGTCCCTCTGCGGGAAACCCCGGGTCCCGGATTGGCGCCAGTGCGTCCTTTGGGAACTTCCCGCTTGCTTTCCGGGGGCCGGATGCAGATTAAGGTCCTCATGTGTGTTACTTCTGAGTTCGTGGAACAGCCCGAGCTGGGCAGCACTTGGGAGCGTTGTCATTCTGGGTGTCGTATCACAGAGTGGCCCAGCATGTAACCAGCACTGGACGAGGAGATGGAACATCACCCACCCTCAAAGGCCCCACCGATGCCCTCCCAGTCCCGGTGGACCGGTGAGAAGCAGGTGGCCTGGGATACACGGCCCAGAGCCTCCAAACCCGCCAGAAGCTGGTGTTGGATGTGCTCACTCGCTGCCTGATGAGTTTCTGCAGCTCGTTGTTACCGGAGAACGTGGCCGTGGGCAGCCTTGCAGAAGGCACGGCACGGGGTTGGGTGCGTCCAAGATGGCTTGGAGCGTCCCCCCCCCCCCACTGTCCGCCGTGTGTTTGGGGAATGGCACGAAAGGTCTCGAGCCTGGGGCCCACCTGCAGGTGTGAAGTGAGCAAGTGCAGGCTGGGCGCACAGCCAGGACCAGGGGACAGCAAGTGCCCGCTGAGCGTCTCTTACCTTCATCGGTCTCCTTGGTCAGAGCGGGCACTGCCCACCTGGGGGACACTCACCAGTGACAACGGAGAGAGAGGCCGTTTTGCCATCGTGGCTGTTGCGATGCCCCATGGGTGCGAGTAAGGGCGTGGGATGTGGGAGAAGTCACCACGACGCGGGGTCTCGTGGGTATAGGGTAGCGGGAGCTGGCCTGGAAGCCCGTGGCCCACTCTTCCTGGCGGGTGGCATGGTGGGTTCTGTCCAGAGGCCGGGAATGATGGAGAGACACCTGCTCTCCAGGCCCACAGCCATGAAGGTCTGCCAGGGGTTTGGTCTCTACTCCCAGGAGCATAATTGTTTCCGGAATCTTCTAAAGATCACCTGCCTTCACTTTGTTGAGACAAACAAAGCCCCTGGAGGCTGAGACCGGCACTCCCACAGGCATGAACCCCGGCAACAAAGCAGCCGTTGTCCCTGCGTGCAGGTCCTTGCCACGTTGAGTCCTGGAGCCAGGGACATGAGACGGACCCTGGAATCCCACCCAGAGTTCCCGTGGGAGCTGCTGTGCCAGTCTGTCACCCCTGTGTCCGCCCGCTCAAGGGGGAGGTGGTGTCTCAAGGAGCCAGGTGACTATCCCTCTGCTGTCCCCGGCGTGTCCCCTTCCTCCCCCTCCCAGGTGCAGTCTGGACCTGTCTCTCCTTTAAGTGACTACTGCCCAGTCTCACACCTCCAGTGGGAGGAAGTTTTCCACCTCTGAGCCAGAGTATCTGGCAGGGCTCCTCGAAGCCTGAGGAGCAGAGTCCTTCCCGGTCGGGGTTCACAGGGCCGTGCAGGGGACGGCACAGTGAGGGGGGCTCTGGATCGCCACACACGCACGAAGGGCTCAGTGTGGGGTCGAGTGCAGACCGGCCAGCAAACCGGGCCTTTTAAGTGAATGGCAAGTGCGAAGATCAATACAAACGACTGTTCTTCTGTTATTTATAGTTTTGAGGGAAGTGGGGACAGAGCTGGCCCTGAGCGCACGGCAGTCCGGTCTCTACCTCGCCCCGCGTGGCCCATCCCAGGGAGGGCGGGAGGAGCCCGTGACGGGGCCTCCTTGGGAGCACAGAGCGCCAGCCCCAGTGCCCACCCCCCACCCAGGGCTTGGCTCCGAGTCGCTCGGTGGCAGCCACCATCCCCCGTGTCCATCACATCCACCACGACCCGTCTGGACGGGTCCCCGGAGGTGCAGGGACTGGCCACCTCCTGGCAGGTGCTTCGGGAGAATGAGTCTCTCCTCCTTTGCTTTACCGATGCTTCCATTTATTGTGTATCTTCAGCTTTGATATTTCATTTAGGAAGAAGCATCTGAGCTGTGATCCTGATCCCTTCAAAGACGATTTATTGCCGTTCATCCATCCTCTCTCCTCTCTCTCTCTCGCTCGCGCACACACGCTCAAACTCCTCCCCCAAAGCAGCGGCCTGCCGCGTCCCTGCTGTGCCCGCCTCCCCGCCGCTCACGTCCGCTGATGGGGACGCTCCGCCATCTATCACTTGCTTACAAATGGACTGTCAGACATGCTTGGTTTCCAAGTGACCTTGGCCTTCCACTTATCATTGAGGATCAAACTAGAAAGCCAGTGGCACAGACGTCCCACCTCCTCCTCCCCCAGGTTTTAACCCCTTCCTCACCTTTCTCCCAGACACGGCACTGTATTTGGTCTTATCTGAGGTCTGCGGCTTTGAATGTTGGGACTTCTTCACCTGTCTTGGCCATCTCTGAGCCCCTCTCCTCATTTGGTAGCTGAGAATCAAGCCCCTACTGCCCCCTATTGGCCTCTCCTTCTACAGAGACTGTCCGTCATGAGAGAAGGTTCTGGAAGGCCTGGGCAGGAATGGCGTTCTGCCTTGAAAAGCTCCATTTGAGCACATTGGTGGGTACACGCTAACTCCTTACTCTTGACCCCTCAGGAGGTGAGCACTCTGTGTCTTCTTGTAGGAGTTCATGAGGTCCAGGCTTCTGGGAACAAGTCACTTCCCGGCTCCCCTCCACGAGGGTTTGTCTTAGGACCATCTTTCCAGAGGGTCTGTGGGTCGGGTATCCCCCTGCCTTGCTCTCCATGGCGTCCTGGCCCTGGGTGGCTGAGCGGCGTGGGGGCTGCTCTGGGGGAGGTGCGGGCGGGCCATGCCTGGCTCCCTGGCCCCGCTCTGCTAGGGGCTCGTCTCCCATCCAAACCAGAGTCCTTTTCCCAGAATCCCTCCTCTCCCCTGGGACTTCTCTGCCTTCTACTCACTTCTCAGGCGAAGCTCTGGAGTTCTAGGGCTCACTGGTACTCACACGTGTCTGAGTGAGGGACGGCCATGGACACGGATGCATCTCCAGCTCTGACCTCCCATCCAGGGGACAGAGCTCACTCTCCCTTGACACCTGCTCAGTGAAAACG